ATTATTAATTATTGTATTTATTATTTTATATTTATTTAGAAAACAAAACATTATTATTAAGTGTGCGTAACATTTAATATATTATTATTTTTCTCTTATTTTATATTTATATTACATAAGATCTTCCAGAAGAACCAATAAAGATTTATGTATTAATATATATATTTTTTTTAATGTTAAGATAAGACGTGTCTCATGATCTTTATTATTATATAATTAATTTTTAAGATATAAGATATATGGAAAAATATGTGCATATTAGTCTATCACCTATTGTAATAGATACAGTATATTTCTAAATAAAAAACCCTGGAGCAAGGAAAAGTAAGAAAAGAACCATCTGCAATATTAATATATATAAAGAAAGGGGCAAAATCGCCTTAAGTGAAAGAATGTATCAGTGTAGTGATTTGAAAGATAAAATGTGTAAACGTGAAGTTACTATATATGTTGAGTTCAAAGTTAGGGTTAATCACTCTCCAAAACCATATATAGTTGAGTGTGTTTTGAGTGAAATAGTTATATAGAGGTGATATGTATTAGAGTTTGAAGATGTATTATCTTTGAATCAACAATCCCTTCTGCAGGACACAAACCAAATGTGTCTACCTAGGTTACTGCTTCTTTTTCAATAGCTGTATATAACTTTAGCAGCAGTAGAGAAGCACTAGCATAAGTTGCCAGATTATGGGGCACAACTCCTTGGTATTTCACTTCCACTTATAATAAAAGTACTTTACTTTTATTCACATTGGTTAGGCTTTAGCTGCCTTTTTTCTTTAATGGTAGCATTGCTGCTCATAGGGTGCAACTCCATTGTTGAGATAATATAAGTTGGTTATATGATTGAAAAAGGTGTTGTGATTGGAATATGTGTGAGTTGGATAACTAGAGCCCAGCTCCAGTTGATTGTTGTGTTGTTTGGATACATGTTAAGTAAAGATTACCGGAACCCACGTAGGGCACAGGTCACATGCTCTTCCAATCCAGTAAGTTGTTAGTTGATCATTTGTTGTTGTTATTATTGTTGTTGTTATTCTTGTTATTGTTATTGTATATGAGAATTTTATTGGAGAACTGATTGTAAACGAGTTTGAACAGGTTTGATATTGTTGTTAAGGAGTGGAGATATTTTATTGGTTGTTTGTTGAGTATAGATCTTTGGATGGGGTGAAACTGATTACAGTTTTTTGAGTAAATTTAGAAAAATTGTAGAATAGTAAAGAAGTAATGTATGATATTGTTTTTAGATAGAAAAGAAAGATAATAAATTTTCAAAGGTTGTGTTAAGACAAACATTAGACCCAGTAACTTTGTTTAAATGTGTTGTTGAAATTAAATTTGTGTTATAGAGAAAGAAAGATAAGGAAAGGTGGTTATTATTGTTATAAAGGGGAAGGTACTTAAAGACAAAAAGTTATGAAGAAAAGCTGCCACAGGCCTTTTCCCATGCAACCAAGAGCTAAAAAGACTCCCAACTTGCTTAGGTCTTGACCAGAGATCCCATTCCAATGCAACAGTGTTCCTTAAAGTCTTTATGTCCTTTGGGTTTAAAGCTTATTTGCCTTAGAGAATAAAGAAAGAAAAACGCTTCTTGAGAGAAGATTTTCTAAAAAGGAAATTTTCAAAAAATCAGCGGTAAACAGGTGAGAGTTTTTTTTTTTTTTATATTAATTATTTTATTTAAGAAAATTATATAGAAATATATATGAAACTAAGTAATATAAATTGAGGTTTCTTTTTACTATGTCCATACAATATCTTTTCTATAATTGCAATTAATTTTAACACAATAAGCAATTTTTATTAAAATGAGTATAAAAATTCAAACTTTTTATGCTGCTTAATGGCACTAAGTTATTTTAGTAATGATAGTGAATTTTTTTTTATAACTTTAAATTATAATTCTATTAATGCTAGAATAAATTATAACATTTTTTTTTAATTATTATTATATAGTTATTTTCTAGTTACAAAAAGAATTAATCACAATATAATATATTTTGTTTATAATATGGTTTTTTATAATTTGTATAGTTTTTTCTATTTATAATGATTTAAAAGAGAAGATCAAAAAATATGTTTATGGCTTGATTGTTCTTAAGATTTTTAATCAAATTTTCAATAATGTATAAGATCTAAATAATCAAATTAAACTCTTCCAATTTCAAAAAAATTAAATCAAAATACCTGACAAGGTTTATGATAAGAAGCAAGAAAAATTTGATAAATAATTATTTTTAATAAATTGATTATATAATTTTTATATTTTCTAGATATTAATATAAGCAAATATTTAACTAATAAATAGCTTTTATTTTTTAGATTAAGATAAATATATCATGAACTGAAAACTAAAAATCTGTTATTTAATTCAAAATAGTATGGTGAAAATATAGATCATTTAAATTTTTATATAATTATATATCTACTTTATAACAATCTTCAAAAATAAAAATTAATTACAATTTTCTGATATAAATATAAATTTCAAGAATACATTTCATTATATACTATTATAACAAAAAACTCAAAAATATTTTGTATTTAATTTTTTAAAAAAATATTACTGTTTTCAATATTTATCTTTTGGTCTATTAACAAGCTTACTGTTATATTTGATTTTTACTTAATATTTATATTATACCTTGGTTTATTTTTATTAATATTTATTTATAAAATAGTTTTTCTTTTAGAAATGCTTTTGTATTATTGATTTACTGTTATGGTTTCACTTATAAACTTTATATTTCTTATATTAGTAAATCTAAAATAATATTTGTATTATTGTTTAGTATTATGCTTTTTGTGCTATTATTGTTTTAAATATTTTTCTATTTTATTTATTTATCTTTATTCTTTTATCTTTACCAGAGTGTTTATTTCTATACTAATATATACAAATAATTGTTTTGATAAATATAATATTTTTTTTATATTTCTATTATTGCATAAAACTTATATTTATTATATAAAAAATATTATAACTCAAATATATATACAAAGCTTCTAATTTTGCCTAAAAATTAACAAAATTGAACTTCTTTTTTATTGAATAAATGAATTTCTTTTTACAAAACAAATTATTATTTTCTTTTTTGCTTAACCTTATATATCTCAGAACTATATTAATTTTGATATATCATAAGAACTTTAGCATATCTTATTGGTTTTTTCAAATAAAATATTTTCTTGTTACTAGTTCTCTGTCTTTGTTTTTGCTTCTGGTATAGAAATAATATATGATACTATGAATTTTTAACAAAATTTTGAGACCAATAATAAAATTAACAAAATTCCAAGAGATTTGCCTAATGGTATATTTAGATAATATTTTATTAATAGTAAAAAACAAAAAAATAGCATAAGAATATGACCAAATTCTTATCAATCTATTTTAATATTTTGAGTTTTACATAAATACCAAAAATCTATAATATAACCTATTCAATCTATTAAATTTTTAAGTTTTGTAATCAATATACAAATAACTATAGAAACATCCTAGAAAAAGATAAAGAAATTAATAAAAGAATGCAAATTAATAAGCATTAAAAAAATAATATGTATCCAGAATTTTGTTTTTTTAATAAGAAAACTCTTGACAATAACAAATACAATACTTTTAACTTATTTATTTTCAAGATATCTATTTTGTAATAAGAATCAACAGCTTTATATAGAAAAGTAGAATTCAATAGTAATATTATTAGATTCAAGCATTATACAATTAAAATATTAAATAAGAAATTTATTGACATGAAATAGAAAAACTTTAATAGAAAAGAAATTCTTATTAATGATTTATACAGACATATTAAAAATAAATTGAGGAGCTATTATAAATAATAATACTGTTTTTGGATAATAAACAGAATATAAAAAACAATTTCATATAAATTATTTTGAAATTTTAGCAATAAGAAATATAATTATTTATTAAAACAATTTATTAAACCAAAGACTACCAATTCAATTAAATTCAATTATAACAGTAGCTTATATTAACTATCAGAATGATATGATATCACCAGTATAAATCAAATAGCAAAAGAAATATGGAGGCTATGTCTAAAACAGAATATTATAATACAGGTTTAATATCTATCAGAACAGTACAATGAAATAACAGATGCAATATCACAAATATTACAAACAAATAACAAATAGATGATCTCAAGAAGAATATTCAAAATACTACAAACCTTTTTGGAATATGTGCAACATAAATCTGTTTGCAATAAACAAAAACAATAAGATCAAGAAAATTTTCAGTTGAAAACTCAATCCAAATCTAAAGCCATGAATGCTATTATTCAATCATAAAAAGGATAAAAGATATATGTCAGATCCTGAAAATACTGTATTATTAAAGCTGATTCAAGAAAAGGTGACAATACTTCTAGAGATGCTGATAAATATTCTAATTCTACTATTCAAGAACCCAATGGAGTACAGCTGTAACATTAAGATCAGAAATTTCAAGTGGAGGATTTGCACAGAACTTGTATAAGGAAATACTTATCAGAACAAGGTTTTTTGGAACAAATCATAAAGTTATACACAGCTGCATATGAGAAGTCATCTTTAAAAAAAATATCATCAGCTCTCAGATACTGGTTCGATTGATATGAAAAACAGGATTGCAATCTCATTAGCTGCCCTTTAAACAAAATAGCAAAATTTTTGGATTCATTATATAAACCTGATCTTCAGTACAATACAATTGCAGGTTATAGAACAGCAGTGATATACATGAATCAGTGGATAATAAATCGATAGAATCACACAGGACAATAGTACAAATTATAAAAGGTCTATATAATTTGAATTAGTCAAAACAAAAATCATCAGATATTGTGGACATCCTACTATCCTTGGAATATATTGAAAACTTAGGCAACAATGAGGATATATATATGCTACAGTTATCACAAAAGACAGCCTTTATTTTGGCATTGACAACTGATAGCTGCCCATTAGACTTAGCAAGAATAGACATGTCAACATACTCTTCTACACGTCGTCGTACTACAGTTGGCATCAAGAATCCTAAGAAAGCAAAAATCTCTAGAAGCCATGGGGGTTCGAGATCAACATTTAAGAAAATACATATCGACTCTTATAAGGATAATACAGTTTTTGGCATGAAATCCACCTTTATTACATATTTTACTAGAACACAAGATTGGTGTACAACAATCCTTTTTCTTACAATGACTCGACCACATAAACCCGCCTCAACCGATTCAATAGCTAGATGGATTAGGATGACGTTGATTCAATCATCTCCGGACCTAATGGCTAAAAACACTAGAATCATTGCCGCCTTCCTGGCACAAAACAATGGGGTCAATTTGGGGTCAATATTAGGACTGGGAAACTGGTCAAACAACACTGTATACCAAAATTTTATCAAAGGGGTATTACGTTATCTCTACAAAAGAATAATGTGGCAGTAAAGATTTTAGACGAAGCTCTAGCGAGTAGGATATCTGCTCCAAAATAGCACACTATATGCACTGCTATCTTGAGCGACATACATTTATCAAAATGTCTGATCGCTAGTGAAAGACATTTATAAATATGCGAGCGAAAAGATAGCAGTGCATATCTTTTCAATTCCCACCCTATTCCTAGCCCCGCCCTAATTATAATTTAAACTATATAAATAACGGCCTAGCTTTAGAGTAAACAAGTCACGTCATATATATATAAAAAAGATGTAATAATTACACTGATCTGTAATACCGAACGCTAATCAATAATAGGCCAATTGGCACACTATATGCACTGCTATTTTTCACTCACACATTTATAAATGTCTTTCACTAGCGATCAGACATTTTGATAAATCTCACGCGAAACTATTATTAGGTAATCTTTCACATTTCATTTTATTACATAATTACAGTATTAAATTAACTTATTGCCACGCTCACGTGACTATAGTCACGATTGTGTCGTGGATT